TTGTATTGTATTGTATTGTATTGTATTGTATTGTATTGTATTGTATTGTATTGTAACAATCAAATCATCAGCGATGTTTACAACTCCCTCAATGTCTGCTATAACCTGACTGATGATGTATTGGTAGTTCTCAGGTGCCACATTAACCCCAAAACTTAGCCTCTTTATAGCGGAACAAACCGTCATGTGTTACAAAGGTAGCAATGTCCCTGGAATCTGTATGCAGCTCTACCTGGTGAAAACCATGACGCAGATCTAGCTTCGAAAAGACAGTACTGTCATTTAGTTCTTCTAGTGCTTCATTGACAGTGGGTTTGGCAGCTGTTCTTGGATAATGGCCTCATTTGCGCGATGCATGTCCACACAAAGTCTTATCTCACCTGACGGCTTGGGTGCTAGGACAACCGAACTAGCCCATGTGGTGGGGCCTTCCACTCTCTCAATGATATCCCCTTGGAACAGTTCATGGATCTTGGCTTTCACTTTGTCTCGAAGCGCAAAAGGAACTCGCCTCAACTTTTGAGCAACAGGTGGTACATTTGGGGTCAACATGCAGTTTCAACCCAAAGTCTTTTAGTTTGCCACCTCCCGTGAACACTTGAGGGTATTGAGCTTTGAGCTGGTCGGCAAAGTCACTCTTGACTTCATTACAACTGCCACCAATGAGACTGGCCTTTGGACCAATGTGGAGAACACCAAGCTCAGTGGCAGTAGCATTCCCCAGTATGCAACGCCCGCACTTAACTACAAGAAAACTGGAAACTACTGTAGCATTTCCCACCGAAATTTCCGCTTTGAACTGACCAATTTCTTTGCCACCATAGGCAAACAATTTCCTCGAACAATGTTCAAGGTTCCCCTTGAAACCCACATTCTTCAGTTTCTGAAAATCATCTTCCCCCATCAGATTACTCACAGACCCTGAATCAATCAAAACTTCCTGAACAATTCCATCAATACTCACATTTATCGTCGGCACGTGACGTGCGGTCGACACCCTGCAACCACCCTCCTCATTTTCGTCCATCACAGTAAACGCAAAGGCAGGGTTTTCTTCTTCTTGACTGCTACTCGCCACATAACCTTCCACTTGATTTGTCTGTCTTCTGAACGCCTTATGATTCAACACTGGTGTATTAATCAACAACTTCAGTTCACATGTGGTTCCCGGTTGTAGGCTAGTTCCCAGTACACCACAGTTAGTGGTGTGTCCTTGGACTCTAGATTGAATGGTTCGGTTATGAGCCCTGACCAGGGTCATTGTGTGGAGTTGTTAGACAAGACATGGACTCTCATCTCTGACTGTGCTCATATCTTCACTCAGGAGTATACAAATTTAATCCAGTGAATTATGAGGCAACCTGACAGAATGCTAGGCAGTGACTGGTGATAGACTAGTGCCCCATCCAGGGGGAGTAGTAGGTGCTAGACAGCTGTGTAAAAATTACACTGGCCCATTTTCTGCCTGACTTTTGGAACTCGGAACACACAAGGAAATTCTTTGTGTAATAGACAGAATAAGCCACTCTTTTCGATTATTCCTTTCTTTGTTTTTGACAAAGACCCTCATCATTCAGATTTTATGTTCAAATGATATTTTGAATCATTTTTTGAGTGTTTTATTTGCTAGTTTTGTGAAAATGATCCCATTGAACTGTACTGTAAAAGAAGTTTCTGTTTTATGCACAATTCTCCCAGATTTCAACAACGCCTGGCGATGGATGTCATTGTTTCTGCGGCATTTGGCATTGAAGTGAACTCACAAAATAATCCTGATGATCCAGTCCTCAAAGCAGCTGAGCTTGCTATCAATGAGACTACCTTTCAGTTAATTTTATTTGGGGTTCTTAGTTTGATGCCTTATGGATTGAAAATTATGGAAAAAGTGCCACAACTGTATATGAATAATCTAAAACCACTCCTCAATATTGCGGAGGAAATAGTTCGCACGAAGAGAGAAAACACAGGGAACTCAGTTAAAAAGGTAAATAGTAATAAATATTGTAATTATTATGATCAATTAATATTGATATATCATATATTCAGTATGAATGGTCACTGAGGTACAGCCAAGTTGACTATCCTTCCGAGAAAATCAGGGGGTGTGGTCGATTGTTTTTAAGCAAGCCAAGTAGTCTCTATAAAGCCTGCTTCACACTTGTGAGATAAGCACATGGGTAAGCGCAAGCATACATGTAATATCGAAAATGCTGGTGCGCACCGAGGTGGAATAAATACGTTCAGTCATAAGCACAAGAAAAAGAAACATATCTTGTTCTTGTGTTTATGCTTGTGCTTATTTTACAAGTAGCATGAAATACGCACATGCTCGACTGTGTATGTCCTTACTGTGAACATCCATGTGTTTGTGCTTGTCTCACAAGTGTGCACCAGGCTTAAAGCACTGAGCAGTTCCAAAACAGCTGTTTTCTCCTTCATGGTATTATTCACACAATCATGTTCAGATTTGCACTAGGCTTACACGTATCAGGAATTAGGGAGCAGGGATGGCGCAGTGGTGAGAACGCCCAGGTTCGATTCCGGCTCGGTGCCATATGTGGGTTGAGTTTGTTGTTGGTGCTTGCTTTGCTCCAAGGGTTTTTCCCTGGATTCTCTGGTTTTCCTCCCTCCTCAAAAACCACTTGAACACTGCAAATTCCAATAAAAACCAGTTAAGGCTGACGTGGCTTCCTCTCTAAATATTGTTAGTTTTTTTTTTATCAACTTGTGAAAGGTTCCACTGACTGTTTATTACCTTAAATATAGGACATGTTAGATCTTATGCTGGCTGCTTCAGACGACCTTTCAGTTCCAGAGTCTAAGAAGCTCTCTGACGCAGAAGTTTTAGCACAAAGCTTTGTCTTCCTTGCTGCAGGATATGAAACTTCCAGTACCACGTTAGGTTTTGTGTGTCACCATTTGGCAACAAGTCCTGAGATTCAGGACAAGCTGCAGCAAGAGATTGACAATGCTTGGCCAGATGAAAACCAGATGCTGTCATACGAGACGGTTCATGAGCTACCATACCTCGACATGGTGATATCAGAGGCGCTGAGGATGTACCCTCCAGGTAGGAGAGAGGATTATTGGACAATGTGTACTAAAGGCATCCACAGTCGAGTGTTGATCGTTGCCCTCAATTGACGCTCTATCGATGCTCAATTAACGTTCAGACGACACCCCCCGTTGACACTCGATCGACACTCAATCAACATCTTTGTCGACAGTCAGTCGAGAGAGAGTCGGCTAATTTTTATAGACACGCCATTGAGCATCGATTGATACGTATGAGTCAGTTGACGCTCAGCCGACTATTGACTGACTGTCAGTCAAATGTCAATCAGGTGTTGATTGAGATGCTGATCAAGTGTCGACCAAGTGTCAATCGAGATTTCCATTCAGTGTTGATGATCAAGATCTATGTAGATCGAGTGTTGATCAAGGGTTGATACCATCTTGTGATTTTTTGGCGCTCTAAGAGAAATCAAGGAGCATAGGCATGTAATGCATGTACAGAATACATATAATATTCTTCCTGAGTAGTCTTCCATATGTTGAGCATTAAATGTTCCAAGAAACTACTTGAGGGAGCTTTCGTGATTCACAATTTTCCTTTACATGCTTTTTTTTTAGGGTTTATTCTGGCTCGTTCCTGTACAAAAGAATGTATCATCAAAGGAGTGAAAATACAGGAGGGTACAATGGCCGTAATACCAGCATACAGCATTCATCATGACCCGTCCATTTATCCTGACCCGGAAAAATTTGACCCTGAGCGTTTTTCAGCTGCAGCTAAACAGTCTCGTGATTCCTACACTTACATGCCGTTTGGTCACGGACCACACAACTGTATTGGTATGCGGTTTGCTCAGGTGGAAATGAAGCTTGTGTTGGCGCGAATGTTGAAGAAATATCGTTTGGAGGCCGCTCCAGATACAAAGATCCCGCCTGAAATTGTCATTAGAAGTACCTTGACAGACATGACAATTGGAGATGTTAAAGTTCTTGTAAAATCACGAGCTAAGTAAATGCATGCCAAACCTTTCTTCTTTCCAATTGTATAAGAGCATAGAGGTTTTCATTCGAGTGTCTCAAAACCAAAACTAAAGTTATCACTCTAGCCAGTCACAAAAGAAACAGACTATCTAATGAACCAATTAAAACAAAAAATTAATACATGCTTGGCTTTAGTATCACTCCTGATCGGATGGAAAAGTGGTGCCAATCATGTAGTGTAGTTGTACAAAAGCAATATTACTTTTGGACATTGTGTAGTTCCAGAAAATATCCATCCCCCCACCAAGGAGGCCCCGTAAGCCTCCTTCCTCCTCGGAATTTCCATTTTTTGAACACAACAGTCCATGTACAGTTTTATTTGTAGAATAGTTTGATAAATTGCTTTTTAGTCTTACACTACACTAGAATCACTCTACGGTTAAACATTTTCAGTTTTCTGTGATCTTGTCTCTCTGACCGGCAGGATCTTGAAAATCGACTACCGACCAGCGGAACAGCTTGTGTATAAGCTAGGTAATTGGACTTAAGTCCATGCACAGTTTTATTTGTAGAATAGTTTGATACATTGTTCTTTAATTTTATACTACACTAGAATCACTCTAAAATTAAATGTTTTCAGTTTTCTGTGATCTTGTCCCTCTTGCCGGTAGGATCTTGAAAATACTACCGACCAGAGGGACAGCTTGTGTATAAGGTAATTGGAGTCATGTCTATACACAGTTTTATTTGTAGAATAGTTTGATACCTCGTTCTTTAGTTTTAGACTACACTAGAATCACTCTAAAATTAAATATTTTCAGTTTTCTGTGATCTTGTCCCTCTAGCCGGTAGGATCTTGAAAATACTACCGGCTAGAGGGACAGCTTGTGTTTAAGGTAATTGGACTTCAAAGTTTTATTTGTAGAATAGTTTGATACATTCCACTTATTCCTTAAGTCATAAAGCAGGCTAGAATATTGAGGAGTCACATTATATGAAGGTTATCAGACACTTGATTTCTGAATGCCTGAACAAAAAGACATTGAATTGAATTAATTTTGCATTCACTCCAAGTCCAGGCAGTGGGACACATTTCTGATATGTCCAGTGGACTTGAAGTTGTAGACATCAATATTATTTTAATGAAATATATTTGTGACTTTAATACTTTGTGGGAGGATAGAGGAATCTCTTCAGAAGGAATGTTAAACTTTAAGAGTTCGATTCTGTTCCTTAGTATTGTAAAACTATCTGTTTATGGAATAAACACAAATTAAAGTAACAAAAATTTCCTCCTATTGTCTTTTTTTTATTGAATGGTGTGGATGTCTGGAAAACCCGAATAGCGAATAGCGAATAGTCGCGTATAGCGAACAGCGAATAGTCCTAATTAGCGAATAGCGAATAGTGCGAATAGTCTCGAATAATGCGATATAGTGGCGAATAGTCCTTTTCACGGTTAATTTTCTCATTTGCATTACAATGTAATCCAACGTGGATGCGAGGCAATTTCGGGCTAAAACTACAAAATAGACCGAAATTGCCTCACATACATGCTAGATTTTATTGTAATGCAAATGAGCAAAGGTAACCGTGAAAAGGGCTATTACGTGGCAAATAGTGGCAAATCGTAGAAAATACGGTACCCAGTATCTCGCAGTCAACCTCGCAGCAACGTAGCATGGGATTTTCCCGCTAAAAAGACGCTTATCAGGACAAAAGGTGTTTCTAAACGTAATTTATTCTGCTTTAACCGCTGCAAAAGCGTAAACACGTCTTTATTAGGTTATCCTTGTGTTTTCTGTTTTGAATGAGGCCTTCCGGCGTGATCAACACTTTGGTAACATCTACCTCTCCAACCACTCTTTAAGGTCTTCATTTAAGATAAAAGCGCTAGAAAGTAACAAGGATAAACATACTAAAAAGCTTCCAAAGACCGGAGCCCTCGAGAAGCGTAGCATTTGTTTAAATATGGTGAAGCAAAATAGACTATCTAACTAACAGCATGTAGGGGATCTACACAAGTACTACAGCATAGTCTAACTAGCTCCACACTGCAGATTATCCATCGAGTGCCTAGAAATCTAGCGTTAAAGAAACACAAAATTACGAGGTCGAGCTTCAAACGAAAGAGGATCGAAAAGTACATTACGCCATTGGCTAGCTCTATCTTGACCGTTTTTGGCCTGTCAACCATTTGTATCATCATCACGCAAATATACAAGGCTTTCGTAGGAAAACGCTCTAATTAAAAATCACTGGGAAACAAAACTATATATAGCCTGCAGTCTGCAATTGTCAGACACCTTTTTTCTTTTTTTTCCTTTTTCTTTTTAAGTTCAGGTGTACCAACTTTATATTACGTTTTTTGCTCCCCAAAAGTAACGACCCCCCGAAAGTAGCGACCCCCCAGCAAGAAGCGAGCCCCAAAGGCTGCTAATTCCGAAAGTAGCAAGGGTAGTTACTATCGGAAGTTTACGGAACTTAGGTTGAAATGAAAGACTATTGCCCATGATGGATACATAGTTGGTGTGAAGCTTCTAAACGGATATGCCCTTATTTTGTGCTGCTAAGCATTAGAAGTTTCGGTATAATATGTATGGATTGGCAAATCAAATGGTGGTGTGAAATTAGAAAATTATTTTATATCCTTCTTGTCAAAGTTCTAATGAATATTTTAGGCAAGGGAAATAACAAGAATTTTGACAAAATGCAAGTGAAATTATTTAATTCATCATTCACACATTTTCACCTCAATTTAGGAGCTGGGAACAGTTAAAAATTCTTCTATTAAATTTAAAAAAATAACACATCCTTGAGTTACCATTTGAACATTTTATTCCCCTATCAGTACATGTCATTTCTGAAAAAATACTCCCTCTCCCTGACAGCAGTATATACTAATATTAATATAAATATGAAAAGTCCCAATATTACACTGACACTATACCACAGCAAAATCATTTCTGTTCATGACTAATTATACAATATCCCCTTTCCAAGCCGCAAACTATTAAACCAAAGTTCCCATTAATTCAGAACTCTTACACCTAACTATAATTTTGATTGGATTCCCAGTAGAATAATTTAGGCCCTGCCTGGGAGTGAAGAGTGGGACGAGTTGTTTTATAGAACAACATTGAGGACCTAAGGATTTAAACTGTTTTATACTGAGACACGGACTTCTCATGCCTTATCATGGAAGCGCCCTCGCATTATTACATAATTACAATGTGTGTGTGCTTGCATAGGCATGCTTTACATGAAGGCATTAAACAACTATCCATTGTCTGCCAAAAATATTTTCCTGAACACAGATTTGGACCCGCCAGCCTGTAGCCTTGCCAGACATGCATAGGTTGAATTAAATGACATGCTGCATTGAATTAAATAATCATTGATCAGGCCCAAGTTGTTCAAAAGGTGGATAATGTTATCCAACTGGTAAATCACTTTATCCAGTGGGTAAGTGTTGACAAAACCAACTGTGTTATTCACTGGGTATGGATTTATGCATTGAATAGTGCTGTCCGCCCTTTAAATAACTGGGGCCAGATCAGCACATACAAAATATTTATACAAGGCGTACGATATTCAGCATCTTTTTACCAAGGGGCCATATTATTATCATGTACTTGGACTTGCATAGTTATAAAGCTTGTGAGAGTATACGTGTATTATCCTTGCATTTTGGTAATTTATAGTGAGTTGGCCGAGTTGTTCAAAAGCCAGATATAATCCGAAATTAAAAGTTCACCCAGGCTAAGGAACAAGTAATTTTGTGTTTCAAAGAAATATTAATTTTTTATCCCTGCTAAGTTGTACTTTGAAAGTGTCTAATTTTGATTACCGGTCACCTCGCCACAAGGAAGTCTCGCCACCAAGCGAATTCTCCTCGCCACTAAAATAATTATTAACGATCTAATACCATTAAACTGAAATTTCGTTCTACTTTGTTTAGTTGTATAACCCACACAGCTCGTGTAAGGTTGAAGTTATTTGATTGTTCAGCCGGAGCCTTTAATGAAACACTTACGTAAGCTTAAATGCAAATGCAAGATCGGCAAAGCAACTGAGCAATAACAGAACAGTCAGTTCTCAAAGAAATATACCTGTAGCTGAATTCTAGAAAGCTATGGTTTCTTGTTAGACAATGAAACACATATATCACATCACCGACAACATATTGACATCGAAATTTGCAAACAGACAAGCTAACAAACTTACGAGTTGATTAACACTGTAGTCGCTCAAACAGCTAATACACCTTGACCACTTTACTCTAGTTTATCTTTCTCTTGGTGTCTGGTGGCGATGAGACTTCTCTTGGTGGCAAGTTCGTTTGTGGCGAAGTTCCCTGGTGGCGAGGTGACCAGATACCCAATTTTTTTAGTAATTAAAAGTAAATGTTCTCCCCAACAAAGTCAACACAATAAATTATTGATTACTTATAACTTACTTTGAAGTTGTTCCTTGGCCTTGATTGGCCTTTAATTGATAATAATTTGTATCACTGGAGCCAAATAATATTTAATGCATTGCCATTCACAAATAGGAAATTCAAAATACTATAGATACCTAAAAATATTGTTTACATCTTGCACAGAAAAGTTCAACTTGTTATCATAAATATGTGAATAACAAAGACATTGAAACCAATATTTGTACTCCAGAAATATTTGAACGAGCAGCCTCCTTGAAGTTGGAAAAGAGGATTTCATGCACGTTTGGTCTGAGTGAAGACAACCTTTCACGTCAGTGCAAGATGTTGACTAGCTCAAGAAGCTATAGAGAATTTTCACATGACGTCACGTGGCAGTCATATTGGTGTACCACTACAGTGAAACAGCAGCCACGTTGGTACACATGTATACCAAACCAATCCTGTGAGAGTTGAACTCCTTTCTTTTGTAAGTTACACTTTCTTTTGTTCCAATTAATTTGCATGACTAAGTACTGGCCACGTGAGTGAAAAATGATCTATAACTAGATCAAAGAGGTAGCATTTTGCACTGCAGCAAAACAATAACTTGTTACTAGTTAACAAG